GCAGGTCTGATGTCCCTTCACTCCCCGCTCAATAGCTCCCGACGCCCCTTCTTCCCTCCTGACATGTGTCTGATCCCTTGGGGAATCCGTCCAAACTCAGCTCCCACCGCATCCAGTGCCACAAGCTCCACCTTTAATGAGATGCTGGGGGGAAAAGAGCTTCCTCGTGTTCACGCTAAACCGACCGCCTACTCGCTTCGTGCTGCGGCCCTCAACACTTGTACTGCGAGAGAGTAAATGATAAATCCCGATGGGGTCTCGCTTCATCGTTTAGTATTTTGCCAACCTTTCTCCTGTCCCCCTTCAAGCATCTGCTTCCTAAATGGGACAGACCTAACCCAATCCATCTCCAGACTGATCATCCTTGCCCCCATCTCTGGGCCTTCTCAGCAGAGCCCAGGAAGGAACATTGCACGCCCCAGCTGGGGAATCTCTCCCGGGAGATGGTGCCTGCCCCTGACACTGCCCTATGAGCTACAAGTAAAGCAGCCTCTCTGTCCCCCACCCCAGCAGCTTTCCCACCCAGCTACAGCATCCCACACCCAGCATCAAACCTTTGCAGGGCCCCTCCTGCTGTTATAACGTCCTGCACCTGGCCCAGATGGGCCTGTTAATTGCACAGGTAATTGCCAGCTGGCCCCAGGCTGCCCTGCTCCAGCCCTCGCCCCAACTTCAGCTCACAGTGCATGGGGACATGCATTCCCTGCCCTACAGGAAAAGATGCTCTTCCTCTGCAGAGGGGCTAGCTCTGCTCAGTCCCCGAGTGCGAGCTGAGCCATGAAAAGGGGGCACAGGCCCCAGCACTGAGTGCAGGGGCCCCTGTGCCTAGCAGCCCCCAGGCCTCCAGCCTCCGAGCCTGAAGCAACAGCAGGTAAAGGCAGCTGCCGAGGGCAGGAGCTGTGAGGGGGTCTCACTCCCCCCACAGAAGCAGATGGGGGTGCAGAAGTTTCAGGTGCTGCCCTGGGTCTCACGGCCGCATGGTTTAATCCTGCCCAGCTTGGACATGTGCCCCATCCTCGTCTCACCTGCCAGCCGTGCACAGCCCCCCGCAATGCAGCGCCGCAGCAGGACACGGCAGCCCCACAAGCCCCTCGGCTGGCGTTAGAAAACACAGAAGCCTCCACCCTGGCTGGCTGCAGGGAGCAGGTCAAGTGCTGGCACTGCCCAAGCTCCCAGACCAGAGCAGGGCTTCAGCTAGGAGATCTGGGGTCTCAACCCCACTCTGGCACCATGACAGGCCTATGAGCGTGCCTCTGGCCCTTGGGTGCCCTGGACACTGCTGCAGCATCTGCTGGGACTGGACCCAGCGACAGGGCAGGGCCTGGCCTGCGGGCTCAGGGCCACGATGGTGCATGGCCCATGCATGTGCCCCCCCCCCGCACGGGCGCTGTTACCCTGTAGCCGTCATCAGGGGACGAGACAAGCAGACGCTGCAGGCCTGGGAGCCCTGCAGAGCCTTTCACATTTAAATAGCCCGGGGCTGGGAAGGAAGGAAGGAAGGAAGGAGCCGAGGCCATAGCAACCTGCAACACACCGCTCCTGAGCTGACCAAGCCCAGCCCCAGCCCCTCGCCTTGCACGGGGCCTGGAGCCAGGTGACACGGAGGGGACCCCGGAGCCACGGAGATGGCGGCCCCTCTGCTCACCTGCCTCTGCGAGCTCTGTGACTGCGGGTAGGTGGGCGCTGGGCCCTGCCAGCCCCACGGGGGCACATGCCGCTCAGTGCGGGTGGGATCAGACTGTCACCAGGGAAAACCTGCCTGGCTCATGGGCCAGAAAGCTGATGCCTCCAGGGTGCCCCCAGAAGCGCCCAGCCTAGAAGCAAAGCCTGCTGCATTGATTTTTCCCCCCTCGGCCCCTCATTTTATTCCCCTCCCTTCCACCCCAGGGGGTGGCTTGCTGCATATCAGCAGAGCCAAGGGCTTGGGGGGCACATGGAGGTTGACTCCCCTTCTCACAAAGAAGCCAGTGGCATCTCAGGGCGGCACTGCCAGCGGGAGCTGCACTAGGGCACACCAGCGCCAGTGCCTGGCTGGTACGGAGCCTCCCTCTGGAGCCTCATCGCGCCCGTCTCTCCACGCAGCCGACACAAGCGCCACAAGAACTGCCGGAAGCAGGGCCAGCCAGCAGCCAGGGTGCAGGAAGGGGGCCCTGCTGTCCCATTACCAGGCTACGTACACGCACCTGCCAGGTAAGCAGGGCTGCCTTTGGTGCTGCCAGCCACTGCCCACGCTGACCAGCCTGACCCCATGCCGTCCCCCCAGGCATTCCCCGGCACAGCAGCAAGAGGCCGCTGCGCATCCCCCTGCACCCCAACCCCTTGGGCATGGCCCTCAGCACCACCCAGCAAGTGGAGTTCGTGCCCCCAGTACCAGGCAAGAGGACCAAGCCACATGTGTGGGTAAGGCAGGGGCTGGCAGGAGCCCTGGGATGCCGCCAGGCACGGCTCCGAGCCTCTGGGGCTGTCCCCTGGGTTCCAGGAATGGAAGGGGCGGGGGGCTCCCTCCACGGGCAGACCTGTTAGATGTCAACTCCGGGGCCCAGGGTGGCACCGAGCAGTGGGCAGCACGTGGGGGAATCCACCCGGGAGCAGCTGGATGAACCCCTGCAGCATCCCAAGCTCACAGGCGATGCTTGGAGTGCTGGTCTTCTGCAAGAGCCGTGCCGGTCCCCCCTTCCGAAGCCAGATGCTCTACAGCCTCCACTTCCCACCCCAGGCACCAGCAGTGATGGCCCTCCAGCAGCCCCTGAGCCAGATGCAGCACAGAGCATCCCCCTTTGCCCAACCCAGCACCACCACGCGGAACTGCTTCGGAGGCCCACGGGGGCAGTGGCCAACTCGCTATGGGGAGCTGCCGGCACTGGCAGGTATCTGCTGCCAGCACTGCCGGAGCCCAGCACGGGGGTCTGCACCCTGGGCATGGCCCCCATGCTTGTGCCACGGGGCTGAAGCCATCGGGCAGGTGAAGCTCACACCAGGGCCTCGTTTCCTCCTGAGCCCTGACTGGGCTGCAGCTCTGGAGACCACCACCTGACAGAAGTTCCTTGCCAAGCCTGGCCCCAAGCCCACATGCAGCAAAGGTCTGTGCGCACACCTGGCCCTCAAAAGCAATGGGCAGCAGCGAACTGCAGAGCTCTCTCCTCTAGCCCTGTTGCTCCCAGGTGACAGTGCTGGGCACGGTGCACAGGCCTGCGCCATCCTCTCCATCCCATGGAGAAGGCAGATTTGCTGAGCCCAAAAAGGGCTGCCGGGGTGCTCGATCCCTTGCCTCTCCCCATTGCCAAACTGCTGCCGAGCCCCGGTGTCACCACAACCACTGCAGCAGCATGGAGCTCCCCCTCGCCACCTGGCCACCCCCAGGGGCCTGTCTAAGAGCTGGAGACCTCCTGTGCACTGTGTAACCCCAGTGCTGACTTGGGACCCTATCACAAGTGGTAGCAAAGGGGCCAAGCCCTGCCAAGCACAAGCCCCAGGCCTTGCTCCCACCTCCCCAGGTGCTCATGACATGACTACCCATCGGTCCACCTACTGCTCGGTGCCCTTGGAGAGGAGGGAGGCACGGGACCCCGCAAAGGGGGCAGAGGCTGCAGGGCAGCCGGCCCAGGTGGAGTACATGACCTGGTACCAGAGTGACTTCCCAGCACGCGTCTCCCTGCCTGCCCGGGTCCTGCCTGCCCAGCCCCCTCTGGACAACCTGGCTGTCAACCAGAGCCTCAGGTGAGCAGGGCGGGCAGGTGGGCCCAGGGGCCTTTGGGGAGCTGCGGAGGAGGGACACCAGCACGAGGAGGAAGGAGCCTCCTCACAGAGCCTTATATGCGGCCTTCTCCCCCCAGCACCAGCTTCCAGACAGTGCAAAGGGAAAGCTACTGTGGCTGGGAGCCTGGCAGGTACCCTCGCGCTGGCCTCGTCAGGCTGAAGGATGAGCTGGGGAGAGAGCAGGGCAGAGAATTCAGTGGAGACACGGTGACCAAGGTGGGTGCGGGGGGCAAAGGGCAGCTCTGGCAGGCATCGAGGGGCTCCCTGGGGAAGGTGAATTGCCATTGTTGTCTTCTCATGGCAGAAGGGCAGCGCACTGGGATAGTGGAGTCCAGAATCTCCAAGGTTAATGCCCAGCTGTGACACAGACTTGTTCTGGGACCTTGGGCAAGTCCCCCCCCCCGAGCCCCCCACCATCACTGGGGCAGCCCCCCTACCCTGTGGGCTCAGAGGCTTTGCAAGCTGAAGAGGGATTCTCCATGGGAGCTGCACAGCGCTGGGCTCTGGCCCCTCCATCAGGCTTCATGGCCTTTTCTTAGGAGCCCTTCTTGTCTCTTCCCAGCTGTCCTACCCACCTCTGCCGCTGGACAGGCCCTCTGGGACCATCCAGCGACCCGCCACGGTGCTGAAGTCCCTCGCCGCCAAGTTCAGCGATTCCACAGCCCACAAGTTCTTCTTCAGAGACTGGGGAGCACAGCCCCGAATCAGGCACGGTGACCCCCACGATGGCATCTTCGTCCGGCCGCTGGTAACAGGCCTGGTGCCTGCTGTCACACTACAATAATCACTAGTGCCTTCCCTCTTCTCCTTCCCACGCACTAACCTTGCTGAGCAGTGGGTACGCAGGACACAGGTGGATTGCCCACGGCATTCCCCAGCCTGCAGTTAGCTCACATTTGCTCTGTAAGGTGCAGGGGACACGTCAGAATGGTCCCTGCACATCTCCCACTCACTCCACTCTGACGCTTGATTTCTAGGCCAAGTTCGAATGCCAGACGACCACGCACAGCACCTACCTGCCCAAGAGGGCAGAGAAAGCAAAGAGCTGCAAACCCGAGCAGCAGGCCATGGAGGCACAGGGAGACCAGGACTTCTCCACCACCCACAGGGACTCGTACAGGTGCTGCTCCGGGCTGTGCAGGAGGTCGAGGGGGCTGGGCAGTGCTCTGTGCACCAAGATAAGGGGGTTTGTTCCCTTTCTTTCAGGCTGCTGCCGCTCCCAGTTTGTCGTCTGCAAACGTACCTGATTCAGCAACAGCACAAGGCAAGAGAAGAGGTTAATTCTCTTGCACCTGTTGAAGCCTAGAGGCGGGACAGCAGGCGGAAAGCAGGGCAGGACGGCACCTGAGACTGTCTGGCTCAGGGAGGCATAAGCTGTTGCAGGCAGAAGCCTCCTTCATCAGATGCAAGGAACAAGACTAGAATCAGGTGAAGGAGGCTGCTGCCTATGAAAGCTCATGCCTTGTGAGCCACTTGGTCCCCAAGCTGCTGCCCTGCCTTCTCCCAGCTGAAGCCTGAGATGGCTTGCGGACCTCCTGGCAAGGTAGCTCTATCCATGGGGGAATGAGTTGGCAGGAGAGGATGTTTCTTTTGGTGTATCTGAACAATATTAAAATTGCCTCATCTAAAATGTGAGACAGACACTGCTACAAGTGGCAGTTGCTTTGCATGCACCCTAAAAAGCATCTTAAAAAGAAAATACATGGAAGTAAAAACACAGTAGTTTTATGGTACAAATTCCACATAATGAACTTGGGTGTACAAACAATTGTGCCTTTGCTAGTGCCTAACATTTTAACCTTTAAAATAAGTTGCAGAAAAATAAGCTAATGCAGTGTACAGGTATCAGACAACTCATGCTTCGCAGTCGTGTTGGAATGGTCCTCAGAAAACTACGGTGCTCTCCAACCAAGGGGCAGCAGTTTTCTACAAGGCTGCAGTAAGAGGAATGCAGCAGCGCAGCACAATGGAATGGAAAAAGTGGGTGACAAACATGAGGGTATTCACCTAGATCTTCAGAGGGCAGCAGCCAGCAGCTTGCATCCATTCAAAACTCTGGAAGTGTTTCCAACTCTTACATTATGGGCGGTAGTGTCAATGGGTATCACACCTTTCCCCAGGCCAGTACGCACTACAGGTATGCATCTGAGCCAGAGCATCTGCGGTATAACCAGGCCCTTCCTTCTGCTGCTTCTCCCTCCTGTCCCCAGAACAACCGTGCCTAGTGCAAGGCCTCTGGAGGGTGCAATCACCTTGGACTCCAGAAGTGAGTGAAGGCAGTAGAGAACACAAGAGGAAGACTGCATTCAGCATGCATGAGTGCAATGCTGGAAACGCTTCTGTTAGTTTTAGCAACTGTTATGGCCTTGGCGTGAGAGACTCCATCTCCCAATCACTTTCCTTGATCCACAGGCTACAACGGGGCCCCATGACTGCACTCTTACCTGCCCTTCCACATGCTGCTCCAGCTCAGAGTCACCAAGCTTAATTACTCAGGCAAAAACACCGTTCCCCCAGGAGCTCAGCACCCTCCTGGCCTCAGCCACTGGCCACCTAAATGCTCAGCAGCTTATGCACAGCAAGGTGGGGTGCGCATCTGCCTCTCAGCACACGACAAGGCTGAAATGCTGTTCCCCGGTGGCTGCAGGAGACTGTCACAGCAGCTGGGGTCCAGCAAGTGCCTGCCTGCAGCCCAGGCGAGTTCCAGCAGACTTTGAAAGGTGTTAGTGAAGCACAATTTGTTCAGCTGCACTAATTGCAGACTCTGTGATGGCAGATGCTAGAAAAAAAAACAAAAAATCAGGTCCAAGCCTTCCTCCAGCTGCCTGCAGCTTGGCTATTTTTCACCCATTTTCTCTTGTGGATTTAAAAAAAAAAGAAG